CAATACTGTTTTCTTCCTCACCCCTTAGTGCTGGTCGGCGTCCCTGCCTGGGAGCAGGATTGGCAATTGTTTGAGTGGAATGTGTGTGGTAATGGCGGTGAAAAGTGGACAATGCCATCCGGCTATTTAAAGCTCCAGTGCGGAATGACGCCCCGCCTTTTGCGCCGCAATGAATGCCTGCTGTTTGAGGCGTTGAGAGCGTGCTGACCGGTTCTTCGCGATTCCCATGTTGGTTGGTGTCTCAGACGGAAGTTCGGTATGTGGAAGAGGTGAGAGGGTGTGGAACAATAAGGGATAAGCACCTGGCGGGTTTTTGTGGCTGAGGAAAACATGCGTTTGTGCATCAACTTCTTTGAAAGCCCGTATTTTGGAGGAACAAGGAAGAAGTCCGCCTTTTTGTATGTATGGAAAGCTTACACTCTGCGTTATCAAATGGGCTACGTGGTTCCGGCATTAGGTGGACAGAGGCATGTCTGCATTTTCTGTAAACTTGAGTTCTGGCCTTCTTTGAGTTGGCAATCTAGATTTGGCTTAAAATACGCCATTTTTGTCTTGATTCATAATTAGGTACCTGTTCCAATATATGGGGAACCCTCTTGTACCATTGTTCTAATGATGGTACTGCTCGACATTAATTAAATCATAGTTAAATATGTAGTGTTCAGAATATGCATTAATTAATGTCCAACAGTGTAACGTGTAATAGATTGCATTTTGATCGCCACGTGTCATACAAAGCATTTCGGTTCGCACGTGTAATACATTGCGGTATGGTGATTTTTGGTAATGTCTTGGGTGGTGATATGGGTGTGATTCTAGTATGGTTGTCGCGCGACAAGATTTCATTTTTGCTGTATGGTGGCCAGCCATACTACAACTTTATTAAAATTTGATAACTTTTCGGAGTGTGATTCTAGTATGGGTGGCCACCCATACTAACATTTCCTGTATTGGTAATATAGTGCTGACCTGTGGCCGTGCGACGAAAACGGCTCTATATCGAACCCGGCACTATAAGAAAATTTGAATTTCGACTTTTTAAAGCCACTTTTCTTGCATCACTGGTTCCAAAGTGTGATTCCACACAAAATCGGAGCCATTACAGTAGATCAGAGAATAAATACCTGGTAGCTTGGAGCCCCCCCTGAGAGGGGGGATAGGGGTGAGAGACAAGCGGAAAAGTGATTCAGCGAACCATAGGTTTTGGGCACCAACGACCACTAACGCGCAAAACCCACCACGGATCCCCAAACGGATCGCGCCAAGAGGGCCACAAGACGGGCCGACGCCCGCGACAGACAAGAAAAATCAAACGAACTTTACGCCTCAGCGCTAATCAACGAATCTGATAACGAACAACCACGAGACAACACACAAGGAACCAATATGACTCACCAACATAACCATCTACCAACCCTCACAAAAACCAATTATACATTTTGGTACGACGCGCTACACATTTATGCACGCACGATCAACGCTGAAGAACTCGTAGAATCGCCACCCACCCCTACCAACGACCCTGCTCTATCCCAACAACAGCAACAAAATGCCGACAACATCAAAACAGCCATAATGAGAAGTATCAGCCCGGACCCTATCCCGATGCTACCACCCACCATCCTTCGCCAACAGCCACACACCATATGCGCAATAATCAAAGCTAATGTTCATGAAACAAGTATCGAACACCACGAAGTACTAGATGCCCAAGCGCACAACACTACATTTCAACCAGGAGATGATTTCGGCGACTATGTCGCTAAACATCAAACCATCAGACACAAGATGATCATAGCCGACTACCCCAATATAGCAGCCGAACGTACAACCATCAATTATATGATACACGGCCTCGTACAACATCCCGATCTCAGCAATCTGGCACTCCTAATGGCCGGAAATCCACACAACAGCATTCGCGCGTATCAAAATCATATACAGCAAGTTCTGATCATGCAACAAAGAATGCAAACGACGACCACCAACCCCTTACGGATTGAACCCACATCGACAAGAAACGTAACACCCAAGCCCGAATACAAACCCCGACCACAATGGCGCTCAAACCAACCTCGCCAACAATGGCGCACATATCAGCCACGCCAATTTAGCAGACCAAATAGCAGCCGGAAAAATTATCCCAAACCACAAGGATGAAACGGAGCATGGTGCGCTTGGCATGGGAGCATCACGCATAACACAAATGAGTGCTATACACGCAACAACCAACGTCATCAATATAAAGCCAACACGATACAAATCACATCACAAGAGCAACCTCACACTTATGAAGAGAACCATGGGGGAAACAACAACATTGAAGATCTTGCCATATGTATGGCAAACATTGAGGCAGCCATAACACAGCATACCGAAGACGAAACCGAAGGTAAGCAACCCTCCATCATAGATTCCGGAGCGCACCCCATGCACGTGGCCAAACCTCATGCAACGTTGCTCCCAACCAACGGTACACTAACGCAAACGGCTGACGGCAAACATCACTCCATCACACACAAGGGACAAATACTGATCCAACAGAAGAGTAAGAAGATCACAATACCAGCAGTACACTCACCAAACATTCCGCTCAACTTAATCAGTGTCCACGACCTAGCGAAATATGGTGACGTAACATTCACTAGATATAAAGCGACAGTCCACGCACCTCAAGCGCAGCCCGAACCCACTATCACAGCGACATACAAAAACGGACAGTACTGCCTTGACCCACATAACATATCCCATGCCCACAACGCAAGAACCATACCGCACACGAGCAAACCACAGGAGCCAAGACTACAAAACAAGCCCACCCACCTCAAAAAAGGGAAAACGGCCCCCACAGAAACCCCACATACTTCTCACATAGCACCACGACCACAAGCCAGATTACAATTACGTAACATGGCCCAACCAAAGAACAGCCACCATTACCCCTCACCGGCACAGACCGCCCTCCATGATTGGCATCTACGTCTCGGACACATACATCCAAAGACAATCAGCGCAATGTCAAAGCATAGAATGTTACCCCCCCTGCCGAAGTCCGTTTACGCCTCTAAGCACCAAATAACATGCACAGGATGCATAGATGGCAAAACCGCACGGAAACTGCACAACCGAGCACAACATACTAAAAATATAGGGCACAGTCTCTCCTCTGACGTCTGTGGTCCCATAAAACCCACATCCACACACAATAGCAAATACTTCATGACATTGATAGACACAGCAACACGATATGCATGGGTCAGTTTACTCAACAATCGCGCGCAAGTCCCACAAACACTCACAAACGCAATCCAACAGGTAGCCAACAGACTAGGATACTACCCTAAATTGCTAACAACAGACAACGCCAAAGAATACCTCGCATCCAGCGTCCAGTTGTACCTCACATACAGAGGAATTCAATTTAGACCGACCACACCGTACACCACGCAAGAGAACTCTTTGGCAGAACGCATTAATCGCACTATAATGAACAGCGCAAGGGCAGCGCTAGCACACAGCAGACTTAGCCAGAACCATTAGCAAGACGCAGTCACAGATGCTATTTTCAAATATAACATCACATATCACTACGCAACACAAAATTTACCGCACACGCTATGGCATGGTGCACCCCCCAAAATCAAGCACATCTTCATCTTTGGACAACTTGGGTTCGTACTCATATTGAAACCACAGAAAACGAAACTGCAATTACGAGCGCATCCGGCCAGATACCTCTACGGTATCGATGACGAACATATACAAATATACAATTTGTACACCAAACAAAAACAAAAAGTACGCTCGAAAAAATTAAAACCGTACTACAGAACATCCGACCCTTGCGTCACCACAGCTGCAGTATTCAAAACCCAGAGAAAGCGCCAACACATTCCACAAGCAATCAACACAACAACTCTGCCACCGCGCTCCACATCACAAGCCCGCAGCTATCCGGACGCAACGGAATGGGCAAAGGCACATAACAGCGAGTTACAACAGCTCGATCGCATGAAAACGATTGCATGGGATGAACCAGCTACGAACACACCAAGGAATGAAATAATTCCGATGACAATAACGTACAGATACAAAATTAACCCAGCCACAAAGGGCATCACAAGGAAAGCCCGGTGCTCAGCGAGAGGAGACCTGATGGTCCCCCACACACACTATGAACCTGAAGCAGCGGCAACATTCATGGCAGACAAAACGACTATCCGCACATTATTTGCACTGGCAGCCAAACAAAAAATGTTCCTAGAGCATTATGACATAAATGGAGCATACCTTCATGAGCAATATGATCACCATAAACCTGTATATGTGTGGCAACCACCACAATTCGACGGCACATACAAGCATAAAAACACCACAGGGAGACTGAAAGGAAACATATACAGAACACCACCGGCCGCACACACGTACAGCAAAAACCTTCATAAACACCTTGCAAACCACGGATACCGACAGCTCAAATGCGATCCATCCCTATTTACAAAAAAGCGAAACAACGAACTCATTATGATAGCCATAAGCATGGACGACTTTTGTCAGCGGCCACAGACGCCAAACTTAATGACGAACTGCACACAGTGCTCACATCCAAATACCGAACCAAAAGACTGGGGAGGCCCAAGTCATACTTAAATTGGCATGTTTAATAGAGCTCAAAAGGGATACACCTATCACAACCGCAGCACATACAACAAGTAGCACAACTCATGCGAATAGAGGACAGCAACTCCATATCAACACCGTACCTTTACGGCACAAGTATGGACCCTTCCCATGACCACGAAGTCCTGCGCACCGACATGGTACAACTGTACAGAAAAGCACTTGGAGAAAAAAGATATATCGCGGACAGCACAAGACCCGACATAGCATTCCCAGCAGCAGCACTAGCACGAGCCTTAAAGAAACCCACGGCACGGCACTGACGTCTGCTCAAGCGCCTCACTAATTACCTCCATAGCACAGCTGACCACGGCATCCTAATGCCATATAACACAACGAAAGACACAAAAATCACAGCATACTCAGATGCAGACTTCGCCAATGATGACCAAACAAGAAAATCATTCTCAGGAACAATAGTCACACTCAATGACTTCACGGTTTACTGGCAAGCAAAACAACAACCGATCGTTGCGAAGAGCACATGCGAGGCTGAATACATTGCCGCAGCAGAAACTGCAACACATGCCATCTGGCTTCGCAACACGTTGACAGAAATAGGCATTTACACAACAGAACTTCCCCTTTGCATAGACAACACAGCAGCTGAGCACATAGCTAGGCAAAAAGCACCAACCAAACGAAGAAAGTGTATCGACATACGATATCATTACTCGCAGGATGTCACACAAAACCAAACGGTAGCAGTGCAGCGCATAGGCAGCAAAGACATGCCTGCCGATATCATGACGAAACCCGTCAAAGCACCACTGTACCACAAGCACCGCCAACACCTCGGTGTAATCATGCGACCACCACCGACAGCGGCATCTTGACAGCAACCCTCGCGTCAGGGGGACTGTCATTCCACACAAAAAGAAGCAACGACGCTCGGTCTGCTTGCATCCTTAGAGACAAATGACACAGCAGTTGTGATCCCACACAAAATCGTAGCCATTACAGTAGAACAGAGAATAAATACCTGGTAGCTTGGAGCTCCCCCCCTGAGAGGGGAGATAGGCGTGAGAGACAAGCGGAAAAGTGATTCCGCGAACCATACAAAGAACTCCCGCAGGGCGCTATCACTCATACTGCACATCTGCACTAAAGATTCAAGTCTTACAAACGCTTTATTCTGCGACCACACACGCAGTGACAGATCTGGAATACTGGGATGGGCCGTTGCTGCGTTGTTTTTTGTGTTCGCCGTGCGAAAAGCTGGCTGCGCACAAGGAGCTGGAACTGGAATCGTTATCGCAAGCTGGAAGCTAATAACTACCTCTCTTTGAAACAATCAAGCTCAGCATTGTACAGATTAAAAAGTCCGCGTTGATCCACGTCGGTACTGTGCCATCGCGTTCGTGCCTTTTCTGGAATGGCGCACACCATAAAGCGGACGGGCCTGACTACTGAGAGACTGATGTAGACAGATATTCAGCCGAACTTCGGTAAGCGCAAATTGATTTTCTGCCGGCTCTGCTGAAGCGTATTCGAACCACTTCCATACTATGTTCAGCACGAGTTGAAGCATTTATACTGTGGCATGCCAGTGAAACGGAGCTCGCAATTACCGCGGGGGAGCTTCAACCACTCTAGCGGCGAATGGTGCTCGTGAATATACTCATGCACGGAGAGGATGAGGCGCTTGAAGCCTCAGACGGCCTGTGAGGGGGCGTTGAGAATTTGGAGTTACAGTTGCATAGTTTGATAAGAGTCAGTCGACTGCCAGGTTGCAGAACCTTCCTTCGGATGTGCCACGCGACTGCCGGAATGCACTGTCTTCTACTGCTGTACCAAGGGCTGCTTTTCTTACCACGTGAACGCATAGTTTTTGGCGATCGGGGGTTAAGACTCTGCCGAGATTCTGCCCAGCCCCGGTTGCAATGCTGGCAGTGCTCTTTGCTCATGTGCTGTTTTCATAGGCACTGATTCTGCCTGCGTATTCGGTGTCTGCATCCTTCTGGCAAAGGTGAACAGCTGGATAGTAAAGGTCTTTGGCGAAAGCTGCTGCAAGTGATTCCGTAATTCCCTTACTGTCGAGTCCTCTCCCTCTCTTTCTCACTGTTTAATGCGCTATCCGAATACCGTTCTCTCCGGACTTACTGCCTCTCCCCGCAGTCGTCCAAGGGTCTCAATCGCCTGTCAATTGTGTTCCTCTCAGTCTGAACAACAAAAATGCGCACTGCTCTCCCTGACCTCTTGCTGCGTCCCAACTACCTGCAATCCCGCATACTACTGTCGGGTTCCTATAACGCATATCACGCATTTGTCTAGCATCTGTGCCGACATCACTTCTGTCTTAGTCCTTACTTGCTCTGTGCTCTGCGCCCTTTCGCTCTTACCCGTCTGCCACATATCCCATGCTCTTCGCCCGTTCGCTCTTACACGTTCGCCACTTATGACAACTGCACACAATGTCGTATTAAATGCGGGCTTTGGGCTTTTGCCGTTGTTTAATTTGACAGCAATCCCAGACAGCCGCCAGATTGCACAACCTTTGGGCAATTTTCGCAGACGCTTTCTTTTGCTGTCGGCCACGTCACTCCAGCCAAGGGGTACTTTCAAAGGTACAGACTGGGATTGTACGCAGAACGGAATCCTCCACAAAGAAGTTTGGGAGGTCGAATACGCAAACCTTTTGACTATTTTGTGTTTTTCGGAGTCGCCCAAAAGGACAATGTTTGTGTTTTTCGGGCGACTCCGAAAACCACAGACATTGTCCTTTTCACCTCCGCAATGGTTCGAAAAGCGCTCGTGGGACGGCTTTCGTCGGATTCCGTCAGTCATCCCAACGTGGTCTTCTACGCAAGGGTAGAACAAGTCGACTAAAGTTAGACCCGGGGTTAATTTGGGAATCTTTGTGAACTGACTCATTCTTTGAAACAATTTTGTGGAGATTGACAGGAAATTTGCATGACTAATTTGGCATGTAATCAGGCAGAAATGAAACAATTACCACACTCTGGGCCTTCTCGATGGCCAGACAAGGCCACGCAAGGCTCGACCCGCTGTTTTCCTAAATTTCTCTCCGCGACCGCGTTCTTCTCGAAAGACGCCGTCTTCTTACTCAGGGACGAAAATCAATCTCTCTCGTACCGTCGTCGATTATGTCGCATTCACACAGTGCCACGCCGTCAGGTAGTCTCTCGTCGACAGATTCTCCAACGCCATCGTTCGCCTCTCAGTTTCCGCTTGAGGACGACGAACTCTCGACCGTGTCAGAGGATGATATTGTCGCTGCATGCAAAAAAGTGCCGTCGATCGCGAAAAGGGGTACAGCTATCAAGCGCATTTCTGAGAACGCAGTTGTGAAGGTAAGCCAGTTTATATGCCAATCTGAGGCAAGAAAGATGCAGTTTGTTGCTGCCAACACGTCCGTGCGTGTTCCGCGTGTCATTCGATCCTTCGAAGTCCCAGTCGATGAAGAAACGAAGGTCACTTACAGTGTGATGGAGTACGTGCGCGGTGAGGTATTGAAGGACTGTTGGGACGATATGAGTGAGGCACGTCGTGAACGCGTGTGTGACCAGGCTGCGAGCGCTATTGCCGAGCTGCAGTCATTGTATGTGGACCGGCCAGGTCCAATTGGCGGTGGACGATCGAGGGGTACTTGGTTTACGACACTTGGAGCAGGACCGTTTCACTCTGTTCGCGTGTTAGAAGATTGGTTTACTCACAAGCTTGATGTATGCAAGAGATACAGCAGAGCGTATGCGAGTATACCTCCGTTTACGGGCAAGTTTGGGAAGATGGTTATGTCGCACATGGACGTTGCGCCGCGAAACATCATTCTGGAGGGTGATAACAATATTTGTTTAAGTGATTGGGACTTTGCAGGAGCGTATCCTGTTCACTTTGAGAGAGCAAGTCTTTTAAATCAGGTACGAGAGGCAGATTTCTGCGAACGAATACTGGCCAGGATGAAGACTTTTGAGCAGGAAATAAATGATCTAGAGAGCGTGACATGGGCAATGACCTCGGCTTATTTAATTTAGGAGAGATTCGCAGTGCAGCGGGATTGAAAGGTCTAGGCATGACATGACCTCGGTCTTGTACACTCGTACAGCTTAGTCTTCCAGGCTCTCCAATATTTTTAGCTGCGGGTTCAGCAGCAGCACGAATCATGTTAACATAGTAGAAGTTCAGGGTAGCATCAATGCATTCGGGGTATATTCGTGTCCTATGAGACACGAATATCGTTGCAACACGGGAATAGGTTTATCAGTGATACCAGTCTATCAGTCAAGCGAGTCATTTCAAGATTCTCCTTCTTCACCTCGGTCGACTTCAAAACAGAGAAGGCGCCTATGCCAGCACCAACAACACAAGCGAATATGATCATGAATAGAGTATTGCTCATCCCTAATTAGAGAATAGACTCGCGGTAGAGATGCAGGCGTTCGTAGGCTACCCGGAGTGCGATCGGAGGACTAGGGGTGCAATCGTAGTATTTACGTACAGTAGTCTCTCTTTAAAAAATGACCCGCAAAAGAATATTCTTTTTGGTAGAATACATACTGTACACTGTTTCCCGTCCTGGGAATGGCCAAAACAACCCTATATTCATGACATTTATTCATATACGACATAAGAAAATAGTATTTCGAATGTCGCTTTATCCCATGGTGTACTTGTACAGTATGTAGAAGGGAACGTATTTTGGTCCTCTAAAACGGCCAAACAGATGTCCCAGATCTGTTTGGTACAGTATAATGGTCAGACGGATGTTCCGAATTTGGCTGTACTGCGCTACCTTCGGTGCATCAAAAGAGATCTCTCAGCTGCCAAAGTGCAAACGCAGAAGCAGACGAGAATTGATTCCTTCTTTTCAGGGGCCAGTAACCTTGCTGGACAAGCATCATAACTGCCGCCATAGGAATATTCTCTTTACATGAATATTAATGTCCGTTCCCGTCCTCATTCTTATAAAGAGAGATTAGAGACTATACGCTTGCGCTTGTGAGAAATAAATATGAGCAACTCTTCAGCAATTGGTTGCTGAAGATTTAGACGTAAATTGATAAACTCACGAAAAATTTCTTCGTATACGCACGCCAGCCTCAGGAGAGTGACAGGAGTAATACACAGCAGGCCTCAACACTTGATCGCCCGCACGAGTCGATGCCAGTCACAATCACCAACCACATGGTGACACAAGCAGACTTTACTCTAGCGGCGTGCCGTAGTAGAGCTTTATCTCTGTCTGTGGCTACAGGTGGTATTTGGAGGCGGCGCAGGGAAGCCTCGCGATCGGCATTTCCATCTTCTGCCGTTTTGATGCATCTCGCCGGACTGCGAGAAAACGAAGTAATCGAAGAACAGCGCATTTTGTCTCGTCACAATCGAATCTCCCTCGCCGATTTTTCTTTCAACTTCAACGAATTCGGAGACAAGGACTGTCTTTTATTCTTTCGATTCAAAAAAACGTCCTGAGAATGGTAGCAGCAATTGCATGGCCTACCGAAAAGATTCGTACCGCACGAAACCGCTATGCTGTGACAACCATTTTAGCAACTTGTGTTGTTTTGCGACGTGTTTCATCCCCATGCTGTTGGACAGATCTGGAGGAGCTTTTCGGAAAAAGACAGCCTCACCTCTCGGAGATATATTGGGAGGCTCTTGAACATATGTGGCAGACACATCAAAATGTTATTAGTTCTATTTCAGGGTCTTTCTTACAGCCAAGAGCGTCCATTTATGCCGACGCGATCCATAAGAAGGGAATGGCCTTGCAAAATTGTATTGGATTTATTGATGGAACCGTTATTGGTATTGCCCGTCCGAAGGGCCATAAAAGGCAGCGCGTGGTATACAACGGCCATAAACTCTAGCACGC